GATTCTCTCATCATTGATGTTTCTGTCTTTCCCTCTCTCTGAAATCAATAAAGATATATTTAAAAAAACACACGTCTTAAAAAAACCCAAAACACCAGCAGAGCTAATGTGAAGCTTCAGAAATTAGAGGAACATTTTTATACAATCAAATAAAACCAGGACTGAAGAACTTTGATACCAACTCTGGATTTCTGAATAAGAGAAAGGAAGAGGGAAGAAAAGAAGGAAAGGAGGACGGCTAAGGCATGGGAGAGACCACACACACACGCGTTTCCCTAAATGTCATCAGCACAGGTTAATTATGCCTCCTCTGCCTAAACTGAGCTCCTAAAGAGGAGGCATTTTGTCATCTTTCTCTTTGTAGCTCTAGTGCCCAGCACAGGACAGGCACAATGCTGGAACTGAATGAAGCTACCAGATGCTTTAGCCATCAAGGCAAGTTGGCATCATATAAGATTTTACAAAGGGACCCACAAACGCACCTAGCAGGACCTTCCCAAACTCTAGGCCACATCAGGCTCTGCACTAGGTGCCCACTGGGCAATAACCTCAAGAAAGAGCACTGGGCGGGCTCTCTCTGGAGCATCCCCACACCTTTCCTCCCTCTCAAGAGTGCATCTTTACTTTTCTCTCCTAAACTCTGAGAGTCTACACGAGACTTGCAACCAGGGGAGCATCAGACAGCAGCAGCTCATCCTGAGCTTACCGCCTGAACCTGTCTCTAAGACCCCCTTTTTCTCTGACTTTCCAGTGAGCTGACAGCAGCCCGCCCCACTGTGGCTCACTTCTTTCCTATAACATTTCTGGAGAGCCAAAGCAGAGCACCGCCTAGGCCCTCTCTTGTTGCATCTTTGATCTTAAGACTTTTCAATGAGCCAAAAGCAGCCCTGCCTTCAGTCCATGAAGCCCAGCATGGCTCACTTCTTTAGTGTGTTTCTAGCAAGCCAAAAAAGAGGACCACCTAGGCTCTCTCCTGTTGTTTCTTCTACCCTAAGCCCTTTGCCCTTCCTTTGTGTCACTGTCCCCAGCTTTAACAAACATGCTCTCAAAATAAACAAATAAAAATAATAATTTTTTTTAAAAAAGAAAAGAAAGAACACTGGATGGGGAAGCAGGCGATTGGGTTCCAGGCCCAATAGGCCACTCCCTGGGTGTGTGTACTGAGTGAGGTAGGACCCCACCCCTTTAGCACAATGAGGGATGGGGGCCAGGGGACTGGATAGCCCCATCCAGAGATGCTATGGTTCCAAGATGCTGCAGTCTGAGTTCAATCCCACATTTGGCTCTTGCTCCCTGTGCCCCAAGGAGCTTCCACCTTGTTCATCAGCTGAAGGCTCCCACACTTGCTCAGAGTCTGGGAAGAATTAAAACAGACAGGAATCACTCCTGCACCATCAGAAAGCCAGATATCAATGGAGGGTATTTCTCAATCTCAGCCTGTTGGACCAGAAGCATGTCTGTGTGGATGTGAATAAATATTTTCCCCAGAAAAGCAACAGGACAAAACTGGTTTAAAGAACTAGTTACCTCCCAAAACTCAAAGATGTGGTCACAGGGGAGGCTCTTTGTGCCTCCCCTAACTCCTAGGATGAGGCTCCACTCCAAGCTGGAAGGTGATGAGGTTCCAAGACTCAACCCCAAAGGGGGTAAGAAAGCCCTTTCCTGAGCAGAGGCCAGGACAGATGTCCTCAAAGTACACATTGTCCCGGACTTGTGTCCAATGTGTGCATATGAGGGAAAGGGGGAAGGAGACAGCATGCTGATAGAGAACCACCTGAGAGCCAAGAGCTCTACAGAGACCCAGCAAATGCTTTGTCTTCCCAGGGGCACAAACTGAGGCAGAGACCCTGCTGGCAGCCCCCACAAAAGCCAGGGAAACTGGTTCATAAACAAGTGGCTCCCAGGGTCCTAGCTACCTGCGGCTATTATATGCTGGCCCAGTTGCCCATGACTCTCTGGTGCCTACCTGTAGATCAGTTTTCCTCATAGCACAGCTGGGCAAGAGGGAGCTCTGGGGTTTAAGCAGTCTCATACTCACCACTACCCCTGCCCCTCCTGTACCCTTGAGGGGACTGTACCAACAGTCCCAGGCCTCAGTGGATCCTCAGGTAAGCCCTACCTCCCCTAACCAGTCCAACCTGAGGTACTGCCCACTCCCTACCCAGCCCCTCTCTGGGCTGCCAGTGCCAGCGCCAGCAGTCACATTGAGCTGCCGCCTAATCTGAGTAGAGATAACAATGCAAGGTCACTGATCCTCCCAGGCTGACTACATTGAAGGCAAACACCCAGGCAGCCAGGAAAAGAGAGAACCTCACCACCACAGTTCAGCGGAGTGTATGCTGCTGAGCTCCTCAGGGCTGAGAGGACACCACCTACAAGCCTGATCACCCTGAGAGAACTCCCTGGGGATCTGGAAGGAATCCTCAGGAAAGGCCCACCTCTCCCAGGCAACTCAGGAGCCCCACACTAGCTCATCGGGGTGCCTGAGGTAGGGCCTACCATGGGTCCAAATACTGTATACCCTGCCCTGTGTTACACAGATAGTGTAGACAGAGACGGATTCAAACCAAGTCTATCTGAAGTCAATCCCAAGGCTCTGACAACCCAAGACAGATCAAATGGTGACCCGTTAAAAGCTCAGCCTAATGGCTCCCCCATGGAAGGGCATGCCCGTTACCCACCACCTACCGGCCGGGAGGGATTGAAGCATCTGGTCCAGACCCGTGGACACCAGAAACTAGAGCCAAGTTGTGGGAAGGAACTGCAAGTAGTGAAAAGGCCACAGCTCTAAACCCCACGGATGCTTTCTCCCACCAACCTCAAAACCACCCCACAAGGGTGGTAGACACCTGTCCAGCTAAACAGATGGGCCACCCCTCCCCCACACACACACACACACACACACACACACACACACACACACACACTCCCAGGAAGACTTTCAGCTTTCTTAAGGCTCCTTCCAGCCAGGAACTTCCCCTCTGAGAGCTGCACCCAACCATTTAAACCTAAGGGCTCAATTAAAATGAAGAAAACCCTTCTGCCTTCACTTTCTGGGGCTGCCTCAACAAACTGCCTAAATACCATGGTCCCAGGACTGTCACACAAAGGCAGCCAAGTTAGAGAAGACTTGAGGCCTGCCTCTCTCCTTGCCCTCCAAATATTATCTCTCAGAAAGTCCCTTCGAGCCACCGATTCAGAGTTAACTCAGAGACACCAGTAACTGGTCACAGATTACTAACAACACTATTACAAAACAAAGCAGAGGTGAGTCACCACAGCCTCTCTTGCTTTATCTAGGAGACCCTACACCTCAAACATCAATCTAATGAACTTTGGGGTACTTTAATTTACTAATTACTTTCTCTTTCTTTCTTCATAAAGTCCAGGCAACTGTTAAAAACAAAAGGGCCAAATCTGGCCTCTCTAGGGTAAGGGAACTCACTCTCTTCCTTCTTTTCTCAAACTCTCCAGGGCAGTCTGAGAAATAAAACTTCAAGTCCCGAGTCCTATGTGTCACATACTTAACATTCACAATCTCATTTAGTCCTAAAAATAACCTTGTGAGTTAAGCACAGACAACTTCATTTTACACATGAGAGACTCTGAGGAACTCTAGATCATATACTTAGCAGCAGGGCAAAGATTCGACTTCATTCTGTAGGACTAGTCTGCTTCCCAGCCGACCATCATCAAGTCCAAAAGAATTCAATTTTCTGCTTTAAGAAAAGTCCCCCTTATTACCACAATTCATGTCTGACCAATTGCTAGAGCTTCCTCCCAAACTGGACATAAAAATACTGAAGTAATTATTGGAGAAATTGAGCAAGAGCATGTAAGAGGCCTGCTCTGCCAGGGTTCTCCGAAAAAGTGTAAGAGTTCCTATTGGCAGGATGCCTGCCTGCTTGCCAGGGCCCCTTACTCGGAACAACAGTCCCTAAACCCTGACATGAGAAATGAGCAGCCACCTGTCTGGTAATCTTGAGAGCAACCTGTGGCTGTGTTGGGCCTGACTGCCTGTGGATTACAGGTCAAGGAAAGGTCCGGGAGTAGGTTCAGGAGGACCTGAGGTAGAGAATGCAATCCCACCCGCCCCAGCTCCCAGCCCAGCTGAAACAGAGGCTGGAGGTTACAGTTCACATCCTCTAGGCAAGATAATCGAGACTCCAGGCTGCTCCCGGAAAGGGACAACTCGGTGCTAACTGGTTATATTTCAGCCCTCCAGTCTCCAGGGTACACACTTTATATCCCCCCAAACACCTACTGCCCCTGGAAGGGCATGACTCATTGAGGTTTGGGGAACCTACAAAGGCAAGAAGGGGAGGAGGGTTCAGGGCAGGAAAAGGAACTGAACACAATGGTGACAGTTTACTGAGGGTTTACCCTCATTAAGGTAAACTTTTGTTTGCATTGCTTTATCTAACCCTCCAAATCAACTTCCTGAAATAGATACCATTTATCATCCCCATTTAGCAGGTGATAAACCAGGAGTAAAGGGAAAAGTCAGTGGGCTGAATGCTCAGGAAAAGAGGTTAAGGCACACTCAGGTTGAGAGTGGTTCTGTGGAAGACCCTGAACTGGGAGATCAGCTCACTCTCCCACTGGAGGCCCCATCGTCCCTCCCCCAAACTGGAGTGGGTTACTCTGGGCTGCCTTGCGGTCCCCACCAGAGTTAGCAGGCGAAGGCTCCTCCAAGCCCTCAGCACTCAAAACCCAGAACTTCTTGAGGCGTGGGTCAGAGCAGGGCAGCCTCCAAGGCCTCCTCCGGCTCTGGCGTCCGAGGGGCCTGCGGCTTCCCCAGACAGCCCTCGCCCCGGCGTCCAGCATGAATCCAGAGGGACCCCCTCCCAGCCGCTCACCCCCCTCCAGCCCGGAACTCTGTTTGGGATTAGGGACTCTGATCCGGAATAGGCAGGCTGGCTGTCCCGAAGGAGGGCATGGGCGAACGTCCGGGGGCCCTGCTGGGGAAATCCGGGAGCGTCCCGGCTCCGAGTCCTTACCGAGCAGCGGCGACTCCTCAGGGCAGGCGGGCAGCGACAGTGCTGTGGTGGGGGACACGGGGGCCGAAGTCAAGTTGCCTGAGAGGCCGGGACGAGGGTCCGCGTCCGGGCTGGAATCGCGACCTCGACGCGGCTCGGAGGAGGCGTCCAAAGGCGGCGGCGGCCGGAGCTCCCTGGAGGGCTGCCCGATGGCAGCGGCGCCGTTCGAGCCAGCTTGCAGCGGCGTGGAGACTCCGACCAGGTAGGGCAGGCGGCTCAGGTCGCGGCCCGTCAGATAGTAGACGAGGGTGACGCCAAGGTGCAGCGCGCAGACGGCCACGAGCAGGCGGCAGGCCCGCTGCAGGGACGCGCCCGGCATCGCGGCGCTGCCGCCCAGGAGCGGCTCCCGGAACCTCATCTTCCCGCCGCCGCTTTAAGAGGCGGGTGGGCTACAACGGGTAGGG